ATAGCAAACCCGCGATTAGGCTGTCAAAACAACTTCCAAATAATCAGATTTTAGACTATTTCGTCGCTGTTGCTCTACAAACATTGCAGAGGTAAGGTTGGTGGGCGGCATGTTGTAGAAATGGCGTATTGCGTACTTTATATTACTCTTCACTGTATGCTTACTAGCAGTATTATTTATGTATTGCAAATGCTCTCGCACCTACACATTTTCCAGCACTTTAATACTGTCAGTCGTCTACAGACAAGATTTGCAATCGGAGTGTGGTAAGCTTGAAATCTATGCAGACCGGACACCTATGTCACTCCTATTTACACTCCTCGTTCTGATCGGTTAAACCTACCCCTTTAGAACATATCTTATTTCCACCGAACTGCTTTCTTGGACGAAAGGATGGTTGCGACCGAATTTCCTGTTGCTTTTAATAAACATAAACCTTAGACTTCCAAGTCAGCGACAACATCAGCTGCTAGTGGACAGCTCGGCGTTATTGCTGATAATGTCCTGTAAACTGGTAAGCTGTCACTTAACTGTCGTCAAAGTCGTGGACTTTTGCGCTCCCTAATAGAATAAATATCATCTAAGTATTCTGTTCATTAGTAATTGCCGCCGATTTGTGCATAGCCGGCAGAAATGCCACAGGGAATCGTGGCTGACCAAGTTGATTGGCCCCAATCTGCCTATGGGTAGAATAGGGTGCTTACTTCCTTCCTTGCTGAAGTCAGTAGAGCTCCACGTGACTTAAGACTTCTGAATGTTTCTGAAACCACTCGAAAAGCAACCAATGTCAATTTTTGCCAATAACCGTTTCATAGACCATTGAATTTTTATCGCAACTGTACTGAATATTCAGACTAAATACCAGCCCGGGTAGGATTACTAGACCCCCCTTGCCTTAGTCTGTGCGGTCGCCCAAGTAGGCCTTGGTGATTGCCATGAACAATTTTTCTTTTCAGGAGTAACTTGGTTGCATATCGTGTGCGTTATACACATGCCAGAGATTGACACTCTCAGTAAATGTTCTAGTAGACTTGACGCTGTCCACGACAGAGTTACAGCAGCTTAATTGCCTGAAAGAAATGCTTTATTCACAACGGCTCTTGATATTACAGCGATGTGCACTGAAAGGACATAGAAATAAAGCTGTCCCGATAAGTCGTCTAAATCCACATACGTCTTCTTAGCAGCCTGAATTTAAGTCTCATTCTCGATAAACCCTACTTTGCCCAGAGGAAGCAAGAATAGGCTGCCAGCACAGACCACCCCTGCTCATGTTGAGCCGCGGTGAATCCGTCAGAGATATGTCGGAAACAGGCGTAAATTTGTTCAGCAGATACTGCACTTGGTTTATTTCCCATGAATACCCACGTGTGCAGTCGTACTTCCACAGTTGTTTCCATAAACAAGGCTCAGTTTTTCTTCTCTGTGATAGCTTGACAGCGACGGTGGTGAGTGACAAAACAAACTGCGAGCCATCCCATTGTTAGTTTTGTATGTGGGCATTGTTCCTTTTCTTATCTCGCATAACAAAACGTGACGAGACTGCCCTGCTTCAGACGCCAACACTCAAGGCCTTTTCCATCTGCTTAAGAGGAAACTTGATACTTTTGCCTGAACGTTGAGGGGGTGCAATTGCGAACCCGCGACTAGGCTCCTAGGCAGAAATGTGTCCCCCTTTCACGCGCTGTGAAGATTTTCAACCAGTCTTGCAGACTGTCAAAACAACTTCCAAATAATCGCAGTTTAGACATTTTCGTCGCTGTTGCTCTACAAATGATGCAGAAGTAAGGGTTATGAGGCGGCATGTTGTAAAAATTGTGTATTGCGTACTTTGTATTACTCTTCACTGCATGCTTACTAGCAGTATTATTTATGTATTGCAAATACCCTCCTATCAGGAGATTTTCAAGCACTTTAACAATTCAAGTCGTCTGCAGACAAGATTTGCAATTGGAGTGTGTTAGGCCTTGGTAATTACAAAGACCAATTTTTATATTCAGAAGTAACTTGATGGCAGATCATGTGGAGAATACGCATGCCAGTGAAGGACACTATTAGTAATAATTCTGTTTAACGTCAAACTGTCCGTATCAACGTTACAGCAGCTTAATTGCCTGCAAGAAATACCTACTTCGAAAGAACCACCTATATTATAGAGATGTACCCTAAGAGGGATAAGGCTATCCCGAGAATTCGCCTACATCGACTTATTCCACGCGTGTTCCCAGCAGCCTGAATTTGAGTATCATTCTCGATAAACCCTGTTTTGCCCAGAGGAGGTAAGAATAGACTGCCAGCACAGACCACCTCCGGGTACATTAACTTGCTTATGTAGAACGTGATTATATTACTCCCACCACTAGCCGCTTATCCAAACGAATATGCGAACCCCTCCCACATGCTTAAGGAAGGGCATTATTAACAGCAAAGAAAACATAATTCTCGCAACATTTGTTGATTCGGAGCATGCTGTGGATGACAAATTAGAAATGTGTCTGAAATGCAGAAATGTCTCAGCTAATGTCTTTCTGCATAATGCTAAAATCTAGAAATATTGAATGAGGTAAAAATAACTGAAATCAGTAATGCGACTGGGAAGGTCTCGTCAACGGTTCAGCAGCTAAATATCGTCCTGAAGCATTGAAACGTTCAGACACTTGCCTTCTGCCTGGCCACATACACATGACATGGCAATAAACAATGACTATTGACGACATCCTTTTTGCCAGTTGGCTCAGAAGAGTTCTTGAAGGAGTTTCTTTTCGCCCACTCTGCCGGCAGGCGTGGTGCAATAACTTTCCATCTTTCGGTATAGCGTGAGTACCCCAGGATGCCGGCATTCGAACGAACTTTTATTTCGACTCCATGCGGAAACATTACTCTGTAAATATGCTTACTTAATAGCATGCGTTTTCTCCATTGACTTTCGATGACCTTAAGCATTAACTTATATCTAATGGAAAATGTGTTTAAAAATATTTATTCTTTTGCTCTTTTGGTAGAGAATATCGTCTTCTTCTAATTTCATACTCAAAAGAAGGGCATCATTCGTTTTAAAAGTTTCTTATTGTGAGAATTTGAATGCCATAACATGGCCGTTCATAAAACGCTCTAAAAAAAGACGAAGGCACGATCACTAGGACGGTCGATTTATTGGCCTGAGCTTTCGAATTCGAACTGCAGTTCATCATTAGGGGCTACTAGAATGCAGCAATGCGTGAACATTTTGCATCGTTTTTGTTGTAAGTGGGGGGGGGGGCTACGTCAGTGGCTAGGTCCGGTTTGTGCTGCTTGGCCCACGATGGTCCCCCGGTGTGGCGACGCCGTTTGCACTTCGCGGCGATGTGAGCTGCGCCACCAGGCTGCGTGGGGGAAGTACCTGATAAGAAGCACGCAAATCCATGTGGCTATTGATAGATTTATTGTCCGACACCCACGCCTCCAACAGTTCTTGCCCCGTCTTGTTGCCGGCTCGCGCCAATATCCGCGTGCTGGCGAATTAGAACCCATGGCCTTTCTCCAGCTTGTGAGTAGCGACTTGAGATAGTGGGTCGCCTCTCCGAACCGCCCGTTTGTGCTCAAGTATTCGTGAGCTGATACGTCGTCCTGTTTGGCCTGTGTACTGGCGAGGACAGTTATGGACGGGACTTGATAGATTTCGCCTGACTGCTCACCTGCGTCCAGCTGATCCTTCATTTGCATGATCCTGTTACGCATGGTAGCAGCCGGATGATGTGCGACACCTACGCCTAACTCTGAGGCAATGCGTTCTGTAGCCTCGGACACATTCTTTATGTACGGTAAGGAGTGTTAAATTGTTGGTGTCTCTCTTCCGTTTGTCCGTCGTGGGTGCGTGCGTATGCAGCGGCTGATAAAACTATTTGGGTAGCCGTTCTTTGTTGATTGGTCCCTGAGATGCCGTAGTTTTTGCATCCTTCCTTCGGGCTCACTACAGTGCGTTTTGACAATTTGATCTTTTTTTAATGCGCGTTATATTAGCGCATCGGATGTTTTACGGCACCATACATGTACGGACGTTTCAAGACTGAAGAAAATATTCTTTTATAAATCATATTGTTTGAAGAAAACGCTATTCAACAACAAATGATTTTGACATGTATACACATGCTTCGTGCATCGAATGTTGTGGAAGAAGCCCAAGCAAGTAATGGGTATGTAAAATGCTTACATTCTAAGAAAGAGAACTTATATATTTCCAAACAATTTTGCCTATTTCAAATACATACAAGAGATGAGAACTGAAAAATAAATCAATATTCATCTGAGATGCAGCGTGGCCTTCGCAGGCATACGGTACTGAACCCATATCCAAGACGGGATTATGGAGTCATACAAATATCCTGGAATCTTGCTGAGTGCTAGCTAATATCACAACCCAATCTACGAAACCAATTCTAACCGAAAACCCATTTCTAAATCTTACTTTCCGTTTAACGCGATAGGACATATAGTGGCCATTTTATGTGTAGGCGGAATCTAGATAACAGGATATAACTTTCAAAATTATGTGGCTGCATTGTTATCGACAAAAGAGCCGAGATATGAGTTGGAATTTCACATGGGCTAAAAGCACAGCATTCATATTTTGGTGATGATCGTATGCTACATGTTGGATTAAATTTACAAAGAAATCTCTCGTCAACTTTAGCCGTCATTATATCTATCGTGAAGAAGAGTGGAGTGGATATATATTTGACGCAAGACGATTTCGCTAGGTGTTTATTTAAACACGTTGAAGCCCCTCAGTTCAAACTATGTCTGAACCAGGGACGTCATTTAAGGCGCAAAAGGGATTACGTGTTTAAGCAATACTGCACTCCAGTTCACTGCAGCCTCCAAGTAAGGATCTGCATGAGAAAGGGAGTATCTGACAGCGATATTTTGTTGTAAACCAATGAGATTGCTGTTTAGGTGTTGAAAAGGCGTTCCACCCTAGTATAAAAATACGCACTGTCTGGAAAACTTTTGTCCCTGAGAAAATGCCGACAACTCTCCTTCTCTTCAGTTTGGCAGCAATATTGTCCCTCTTCCACATGGGGTACGTGCATGTCTAATACGTCTCATGAAACTTGTTCACGCGACAATGATCCAAAAATGTTTCATTTATGATTTTATAGAATATCTAACAAGTATTTAGATTTCGCTTTTTATTTGTTGATGTCTTTATTTGCAAAAAATGTACTCTCTCAAATGTCATGGGTAAGGTTGAGTGAATCACGTGACTGCAGATATGCGGAACCTCGCACGCGAAGAAGAAACGTGACAATTGTCGTTTCTGCCATTGTCTGCACATTCTTTCTGGGTACACATTTAATAGCGCTGGGTTGCGATAAATCTTTCCACAATGAAGTACCAGCTATTAATAATTGTTGTTGAGGGAAGTGCGTCCGGTGCGGGCGTAATACGTGAACTTCCTCAGTCACTGCGTATGTAGAATGTTCTGACTAACACATTTCAGTGCAACTGATAAATCGATCTCCTTGTAGCAAGCACTTTCTCCAAAAATACGGTAAATTGACAAGCACCGTCCTTAGAATTACAATCTAAATATAGTGCAGATCGTTCGACTGCTCTGGTAGTACTGAAATGTTTTCTAAAAAACAGCATGCCTGCGAATATGGCGTTTAGTAAAGGCGAGCACATTTTAGTGAGGCAATTTAATGTTGGCGTTGATGAATAATTAAAAGTGGATGTATGACAAGGATGCTGTAGAAAAAATTGTTGTCTTTCAGTCGCGGAAACAACCTGTGCTCTTGGAGCCAGCGAATGATTCCGAAGAAGGCCACTGGGGACATTACGCTTGAGGTGCCGATAGTGCAAAGCTATTGGGTACGTCACTTATAAAACGTACATTCTTTGCATTATATTTTGCTGTTATATAGTTCTGTTAATGCAAGCTCCATGTATCACTTTTCAGAATAAATTGGATGGTAATTTAATAAAATCTGCTTGCATATGTTAAAGACAGGATACCTTGGAAATGAACAATTCGGGACATACGGTTGGGCAAAGGGATGGTGCTCATACAGTGAAGGCTATTTCCGATGTCCCTACACTGCACGTACGATCGCTTTGCATCTTTATCCTGTCACTTATTTTCTGGTTTGAAAACCCTCTTATGTTACATCTTGATTATTGTACATTCACATTAGTGCATGACTTGAAAAAAACACAATTTTTCTTTTTTCGATTCGCATGCGCATACTCCACAAACACCACGATATCCTCCATTGAAACACGCCATGTCTGTGCTCGCATTTCTCTTTAAGACGATGGTTATTATGCAACGAGTGTAACTCTGCCGAACGTTGAGAAAATCTCCTATGCCATGCTAGAAAGCGAATTTCCAGTAACAATTCACAAACCTGGCGATGAGAGCATTCGTAAGTTTTATAATTCCACATTTTGAAGTCGCAATATTCTTTTGCAATCCGTGCAAGGTTTGCCAGTGCAGAGATAAATTAGTTTGCTCGAACTTCTAATTGAAGCATTTAATTTTAGCCGGCTTTTATGTAGAAGAGGGCCAAAGGCTGGATATCTGTACAGACGGCAAAAGTGTACATTTGGAATTTTTGCTGAATGGCAAAGAATCGGACCTGCAGGATGTGAGACATGCTTAAATTTACTCTGGTTAAACTCATTAAATGTTAATTAAACATATCCTCACTAATTATCGTCTGCGTTTAAAGATTCTCTGCTTTAGGTCAGGGCGATATTTATGCTCCGGATTGCGACGCCTCGGCACGCCAGAGAATGATAAGTGTGGTAGGTGACTTGTCCACAGACTGCCTGTTATACCTCCCCCCCGTGCATCGCATATATCAAGGGCTGTCATTAATTTAACTCGTAACACAACACTGACCATTAATCCATGTCTACTGTTTTGGAATAAGGGGAGGATCAGTAGCATTGTTTGCCAAGAGAAAACATTTTGCCAAAAGTTATTTGATAAAATTTGGTGCATTATTACACGTGACTAGTGGATGATGAAAGCCCTCGGGAATACCATGGCGCACACACGGTCAGTCCGGATTGGAGGTCGTAATTCTTTTACACAGCGTAGACGTAAAGGGCAGCCACATATAAATTTACAATTCGGAGTTTCTTCAACTATGGAATCTGTCTCACAGCTTTAGGCAACCTAGGTGATACAGTAAATTTATAAATTGCTATTTACATAATTCTCCTGTTTCTCTGGCTCTTATGCATCCGGTGATTTTGTGGCCACATTAGCATAAAACAGACTGGGTTATAATAAGCCTTTGTTTAATTCTACACCAGTCTTCACTGCTGAGATTTCGTGTTATAAACACGTATCGAATCACTGCTATCTTCTCTAATAATTTAGCCTACAGCGAAAAGAATGGTCGTTTGAGACTTGAATTTAATCTGGATTACAAATATGCGGCAAGGTCTTTCGTGTACTGTTACGCAAACTGGGAAAGGACTAGAGCACTGACCTACATTATCGCCTGGAAAGGTTAGTTTTCGACATCATTAATGCAATTTTAATGCGACAGAAATGTCTTTTTAATACTTACCTTGCTGGCGTCAACGCCCACCTTGTGTGTTAATGACGGTCAGATAGAAAACACTGAAGAATTTGTCAGAAGCGCATCTGAACTGGCCAGGATTACACGATAATAGTCCTCCAACATCCGCCATGGTGCAGATATCTCCATTTTAATAAAGCTGGCATGTAAAAAGTAGTCAATTTAAGGTGAGTCGTAATAACAAATAAGACATTAAATATGAACAATTATTTTATTTGTAATCGTCAGTGACTCTCCGATTTGATGCGAATGTGGACCTCAAACTAATTTTCACTCAAGCGATTTCTGTTGCTCAGATAACTGATTTTACGCCCAAAATCGCTCAGATGTTGCGTTTTGTTGAATTGCAGGCCCCGCCTATCTTAACAACGTGGTGCATTAGACAGCGCATGCGGATGCTGGGATCGCGTACAAAACGTTGTGCTTGTGCTCGGCATGTGTTTTACACATTGTGCTCTTCACAAACAACCATGCCAACACATAAATACACATTGGATATGACACACGTTCATGCTAACTAAAGATAAAACTCTTCCATAAGCCTTTGCCGAAGTGCCATCTGCATACGGTGAGCGGGGCCAAAATGTTGGAGCGGATCGTAATAATTTAATTCGCTATCCATACCCAGTTGGTTATTCGCAATTACTAAAGGGTAATAAAGGAAAACAAATAAGAAATTGGAATGAGCATGTAGGTCTGCTTGAATAAGTCCGCAATGACGGCTGAATACATCCTGTGTATATAAGTATTTTTGTTGCGGCAAAGATATGAATGCTTGCATTCACAGAGCAGTTTACAGACCCCTCAGGCATATGATTAACGATTGAGTCTGTAACTGCTCGCAACGTTCGTTTGCCAGTGTAAACGTATTTTTACATCATCAACAGATGGACTGGGATGCGCGATTCTGACCATCTTCTTGTTCTTAATTCGTACTACTGATGTTCTGACATAATGGCAATAAGGAATTGAATGATTCACTTAACATCCATTCACTCACCGAGTCCAGCAGACTAGCCCATAGAAAGGGCCACAAGGTGCGACTTCAGAGCTTGCCCGGCAACATTACCAGCAAAGAATAATAATAATAAATTACAGAATAGAAGTTGCACTTAAATTACATTTGGCTCAAGTAAAGACGTAGACTCGTCCAGTACCGGAAGGCTTTATTTACTACTTTGAACTTTCAAACCCGCGCAGTAGTCCTGCGTCAAAAGTGCTAGTAACGACATAAGGAGCGAATGCACACAGCTTCGTACGCCAGTGCCAGATCAATAACTCGACTGGCTAAGTTCTTATTTGGGGCCATGGATTCAGTCAATCATCAGACTGCTTTGTTTTCAACAAGGGTGACTATGTCGATGCCTGCGAGGTTAGACTGACGATCCATTTCCTAGGTGTAGTCTGCCAGTTCCTAAAAGACCTCCGAAGTCATGGAATTTAACCAAACGAAATCGCTGTCCATTTCGGAGGGCCGTCGTTAATTGCATCCATCCTACCAAACTTGGCGCAGAACTATTTGACCATATGACTTGAGAAGGCGTATGACGAGAGGGAGAATTCCCGCAAACTTGATAGTCTCATGCAGATGTTTGAAAAATGCAAAAAATAGTTGTACACTTTAGCTGAAGCAACCCATGACCAGGTCAAGTAAACTCCACCGATTTCGTAGTCTCCGGTTTAGTGGCAGATAAGGGGTTACAAAATGCTGTCTTCCCTAAGCGTGAAGGAGTATTTTGGCAGCATTAGACAGATGACACGTTTGTTATCGTAAAGAAGGACATGTTGCTAAATTCCCCCGACCTGTTAAACTCAATCGTTCATGGTATATAACTCACGAGAGTGGAACAGGCGCAACACTCACTCCGTCCTTGATCTGCCCATCAGACAAATTTCCAAAGGGGCACTTGAAGCGACAGTTCATAGGAGAGTTACGCTCATCAAACTCCTCAGTTTTCATAGCAAACACTCTGTGGCTCACAAAGAGAGCCGTGAGGTAAAATTAACCAAAATCGGCAATGTTACTGAGGAAGTCTCGTCGACGGCCCAGCAGCCAAACAGTGCTGAGTTGCGCTGGGAGCATTCAAACACTTGCCGACTGCCCGGCTAAATAATCATAGCATGGCAATAAACAATCATTATTGACGACCCCCCTCCCTTCGCCGGTTCTTCCAAATATGCACGAACGTTTAAAAGGTGAACATCTTTAACAATTAACTCTTCTGTCTCTGTTCATCGTCAACCGTGTGTAAGACGCGCACTGGCCAATTTGTGCTTTGTAGCTCAATTGCCGACACTACGCGGCAACAAATGTCTTTTGTATACTGAAATAAGAAACCTTTGGATGTGTAGCAAGCATGCACAGCAGAATTTATTGTAATTAACTAATTCCGTGACACCTTTTCAACAACAACCTGTCGCTGAATAACACAGAGATTGCGAATTAGAAATATACAGAGATTTGAACTTCCACAGAGAAAATGAACACAAAAAACATCAAGGTCATCGTTTACTGCAGGCAGACTTGTCAATTAAAATGGGAACTTAAAACCACAATTTGGGAAAGAAAACTGGGAAGTGTGCGCGCAGAGGCAGTGAGCAGGCCAGAGGGCTGAGATATACCAGGGCAAGCTGAGTTGACCAGGCCGTCTAACTGTTTGCATAGGTCGGGTTTCGCCCGCCGTATGTAGGCTGCCTCCAAATAGCGCAATATCCGAGTTGTTCGTGCCAAAGCTAATACTCGGAAGGATGTTTTGGGATCAACTGAGTGGTCTCTATCAATGAGGGAAATTGTGATAAAATTACGTGAAATATTATTTGCCTTATTAGGTGCCATTTAGGTAGGTGCTGAACTTACCGGGCTGGCAATTGCCTTTGCGTTGGCCCAATTTACTTACCCCTGTAAGTGCATGCGACTTCGTAAAGACAATTTGTAGTGGCGTGCAATGACAAGGTGCCCTTTGCCCATGAAACTGAGATGGCATTAGTAGGACTGCTAAATATAATTCGGCTGTGTTGCATGTTCTTTCAATGGCGTTCATCAGTCGTCGATGAATTGTATTTGAGATGCTGTCAACCATAAAGTGTAAGATTTTCCCAAATTTCAGCGGACGAATAAGGGAAAGATTGGGGAGGAATAAGAAGTAGAAAGCGGACTCATAAACAGGTTATTTGGTCTGACAATTTCTTTATTTTATTAGGATGGTAGCGTCCACAAGATTTTCACGTAGGCCTGGGTTGTTGGGGAGTTCCTGTTCTGCGTCTAAGGGATGTTATATAGCGGAAGGTAGTTCTATCTGGTCCTACTATAAATGTATCCAGAGGACAGCAGAAATTACACATTTCATCCAAAAACTTTGTAATGGTGGCTAGAGGACAATTCGACATTCTATTGTTAAAGAAAAACGAGTCTGAAGTAAGCAAATGTTTTGTGAGGATGTGTTGCGCACCTTCCATTTTCCTATCAGGCCGGACTAGCAATGCTCGTTTAGAAATTTTATGGGTTTCTTGAAGACTCAATAAGGAAGGATGATCAGAACTTGACAGCAGAGCCTTGATTTTTACACGAAAGCGTGGAGTGATTGGTAAAATCGCGATCAAGAGGGATGTCGGCGCGAATATCAAAAGAGGCAAGATCATCATTGTCTAAAAGTGTGATGGGACGTAGGTTCACAACTGCTCAGATTACCGCATAAGATTATAAGAGGCTCTCAAGACAATACAAGCGGTGTTGTTGAAGAAATTTGAAAAAAACGGACTAAAGCACCATCATAGGTTGAGGGAGGAAAATAAATACTGACAACTAGAATGCCTTTAAAAGTTTTCAACAAAGGGATTATGCATTTGACAACGATTGTGTCTGTCAAATCATCAGGGTAAGAAAATAAGAACTTACATTCCCCGCACCGATTTTGATTAATAAAAGTAGCGATCCCTCTAAATCTGTTACACGATAAAGATTTGCTACCAGTTTGAAAACAGAATAGAGACGTAGTTTGATTATTTGCGAATCCATATACATATTAACCACGTCTTTTGAAGGAAAATCGATGCACTTCGCTTTATCTGCAACCGTCGCTCATGATGGCATCAGGTGTAAATCCGATATTTAGAGCCAATAGACTTCTTAACCCTGTGATAACATCCTCGTCTTCTGAATAATGAATCCTCTGCAAATGGGATCGATGCCAGTCAAATGGTTAATTGTAGACGGGCAAAGTTCGAATTTAATACTTATATTGCAAATGCTGAAAGTTTACGAGGATGAGATAACTGCAAATAATGAACTTTTCAAATTGACTGACTGCGTATCTTTCTGATAACAAGGATTTGTTTATTCATCTCAAGCTCATTTTTCTAATGTTAGCGTGGTGATAGATCTCAATGGAATTGCCGATAAACGCCATCCTAACAATAACTTTGTAGGAAACATTTTCAAAAAATCAGTCGAGTTCATTGCAGAAAAATTAAGCTAACCGTTCACGTTAATCAACTAGGAGTCTGATCAGAACGTCATGTAAATCCCTTCGCTACTGTTCAATTCTGAGTACACCGTTTGTCGAAACTAACAAATATACGATTGGGGGAAAATTAGTAAGGGACTTGATCGCCGAAACACTTGTGCATGGCACTATCATCATCATCCGCGGCAGTCTTTAATGTTATCAGTAGTGAATCCTATACGTCAAACAAGTATGTATGAGAGACAATGGCGGATTCACACGTGTTAAAATTTTCACAGCTAATGTCTGCCAAAATTGACAATTTTCACACATTTGGAGCGCAATATGATAATGCACGATGTTTGTTGTATTTTCCAGAAAGTGATAAAAGAGCAACTCAGGAGATGTGACTTCAGGCTTGCGTCCATTAATGTGCGGTAAGATTTAAAAGGCTGAAATGCCGACATAGTAAAGAAAGACCAACTGCATATGCAACCAAGGTCTTAATTCACGAATGAAGGCGAAATTTCAAGTAACAGGTGTATGCATAAGTGAAGAGGAAGAGTCGAGCACCGGAACACGTTATTTTTTGAAAACAAGCATATAAAGCAGAATCTAATACGGCCAATGCTTCAAACTTCTCAAACAGCACCTCCCCTCGGATATTATTAAGTCTCTGGACAGACTTCTATAATTGCAATGCAGAATAACGAAAGAAAACACACGGATTGAATTTCTTCAGAATTGCATAAGCAGCAAGAAGTACCCAGTGGATTTCTACATGATCCTACGTCCGGGAAAATTACGTCCTACCATAAAAAATCTGGACCCTCTTGCACAATCAAAAATTGAGGACTCGGTTGAGGCTGTCGACATAAACAAATCTCGTTTGGACCAAACAAAACATATTCTCGACAAGATAGGTTTCTTCTGCTGGTTA